CACTTGTTGACAATAAAGACATTCGAAATATTGAATGTAGAAATATTATGTATTCTATAGATGAAGAATTGAAGTTCAAAAAGGGAGAAAAGCCGGATGAATTTGACTTGGATGAATAGAAGGCTACTATATACAGAAGGTGATATATTTTTAGTTAGGTCATAATCATCTTCCGTGATTAAATGAGTTAAAGTTATAAAAGTTGACAATAATAGGAAACTAAGTGAAATAAAAATCAGCTTTTACACATAAACTGGAAGTAAGGTGATAAGATGAAATAATTTTGAACTGTTTCTGTGCTAAGTAACTAAGTTTGATCTTTAAAGATCCATTCAAAAATGTCTTCTAAGAAATTCATGAAATTTTGAAAATATCTAAAGCATCACTTGCTATTAATCTAAGTTTGCTAATAACCAAATATAAAAAATTGAAGTACATTTGTTAAAGTTTTTTAAGGGAACAGGAATTATGTGCCCGAACAACTGACTACATGTTGAAGTCCATTTGTTAAAGTTTTTTTAAGGGAACAGGAATTATGTGGGCGAACAACTGACCACATGCATTTAATTTTTTTACATTAACAGTTATTTATAACAGTTGTCTGTATATTAACGTTATACTCATACTATTTCTTGTTTGTTTTCTTTTCAGGTTGTCTTTATTCCCTATTGGAGAAACAAGCCATTTATTTCTTTTGGTTTTGGTTAATGAGGAATTCTTATTAAGTGAGTCTGTCTCGATGATACCAGTTGTACTGGCTAATATATTCAATAAAAGCATTTTATTTCTCTGAATGACTGTTATAGATTGTTCCCATGAATGTTAACCTTGCCTCATATACTCTTACATTCAATAACAAAAATCTCTTCTACAATAAAATAGTTAAAAAAAAACAACGTTTTGTGTGTTTTTAATGTTCTTTGTTTTTAGTAAATAAAGAAAGTCATCAAATTAATTAGTTTCTCTTTAACTCCAGATATAAATACATTAAAATAATATTAGAAATAAAGCAAATACAACGGTACATTTTCTAACCTAAACGAAGCATTGCAAGAAAGACAAAAGTGGTAAGTATAAGCAAGAGAAAAAAATAAAAACGTAGTTAGTGTTTTGGTGTACCCCGCTTATATTGAAGCCGGTGTTGTTCAAACATTTCATCAATAATTTAAAAACTTAAAAACTTCCTTCTAAACAGGACTGTAAATAGATTAATTCCAATATTAAAAATGGTTTGACCATTTGTAACTTAGAGGTAATTAGTTTTCTACTAACGTTCACCTGGTGTTT